CGTTGCTTACATATTTTTTTGACGATACGGTGGTTAATCGAACAAAGACCCACCCGATATTATCGATGATATATTATCCAACATAATATCGTATCGCTCTCGAATTCTTACATACAATTCGTATATCGATATCGTATCGATAAGATACCGATATTTTTATCGAATATCGTGCAGCCTTACCGATGACTCCTCTGTTTCAGCCGTGGACGCCGCAAGTCCCATGCACGTTGCACAGCGCACTAAGGGTGGTGTTAATGGGTGAGGAAAACTCGTGCCAAAAACTTTGCAGAGGAGGAGTAGGTGATTGTCGGTTTAAGCTCGAACAAGGTCCAAGCCGCCTCCCTCTCGTGTTACAGTCGTTCACGTGAGAGTGGGTGGCAACGACTTGCTTATTATCAGTTTGTGTCTTTATCCAGTGCTTGCGCCGTTTTCTCCCTGCACGAGACCCTCAGCTCACTAGTTTCCTTTTTTAGGCGCTGACATGGGCTGACATGGAGGCGTATATGGCCCTTTTCGATGCGATTCGCGTTCAGCGGGAATCGGCGCAGGACCCTGCGTGGGCGAGCGACTTAACAAATACAGAGATCTGTCTTATAGAATTCCAATTACAAGTTAAGGATGTCATTGACGCACGATTAAGGCAGATTAATCGTAACAGGATGCACGATGGCATCAATGTGGCTGCATCGTCTGTTGACTTCCGATTACCTTCTTTGTTTTATAACGGTGAACCCGTTAAGCTTTTGAAATTGTTCAATAAACAAGGACACATGTTTTTCGAGCGTATCCTTTATATGTTGCGTGATGCTGGAGTTCACATATGCACTCTGACCTCAGTCAAGTTGGCTGCGCACACTACTACGGCAGGGGTCGCATGCCCTACACTCGCGCAGTCATGTAGACTTCAGCTCGTCGCAATCCTCAAAAGAAAACAAAAAAACAAAAAACATGAATCAAAAAAACGAGAAAATCATGAAAAAGAAAAGTCAGAAAATCCCAACACAAGCATCGATGTTTCACATCTGGTGCATTATCAATGCGTGCTTACTCTTCAAATCGTTCCCTCTCATTGAGTTAAGTAATCAGAGTAGTTTCTTGAGCTTTAGCGCACCAGATGTGAAACATCGATGCTTGTGTTGGGATTTTCTGACTTTTCTTTTTCTTGATTTTCTCGTTTTTTTGATTCATGTTTTTTGTTTTTTTGTTTTCTTACTTTTTACTTGTTTGATTTTAGATTTTTGTATTAAATTGATTTTTTCTTGATTTTTCGAGTTTTAATTTGTTTTTAATTTTTTACTTCTTTTTTTGTTTCGACTTTTACTTGTTCGATTACTTTTGAATTCTTTAATTTTCTTAAATTAATAGTAAGATGTTTCACATCTTGCAGCTGTTCATAAACAGCTGATTTTTTTTAATTTTTTCAATTTTCAATTTGATTTTTTTTACTTATTTTTTTGTTTCGACTTTTACTTGTTCGATTACTTTTAAATTCTCCAATTTTCTTTAATTAATTGATAAAGATGTTTCACATCTTGCAGCTGTTCATAAACAGCTGTTTTTTTTTAATTTTTTCAATTTTCAATTTGTTTTATTAATCAAATTAGTGCATTGAGCTATTATCGTTCGTTATATCTTAATATAACATGATAATTTCGACTTCCCTTAAGAAGACACACACTCATAGACACGTATACATACATGCAGTAATAAGTATCAGATTTGACAACGTGCATGATAGTGCATAGTCTCGCGACGTACATGCATAGACAACACATACGTATTATATGTATTAGCGATACGCATAAGCAAGAGAGAGAAAGATATCTCAACGCAGTCAATCTCGTGAGCTGAGCCGACTACTGTTGCTTATGCTGTTACGTTGCCTCGTGCGTATACGTAAACACAGGCATACGCGCGTCGAGTCTCGGCAGCGGACAGCAGCAGAAAGCAGTTCTGTAGCTGGCGCGGCAGCCAATCACAGCGCGTAGCGCAAACCTACGCTGTATAGGCAGTTCTACTGCCAAAGTTGCGCTCGCTCGGACGGACGGACGGACGGACGCTCGGTTTTTACGGGTTTACCCCTGACACCAAACGCGAATATAGATGTTTCACATCAAAAAGGTCGACTGCTTATCAGCTACCTGAAAACGCGCGAGAGAAGGGAGACACACACACACTCACTCATACATACGCGCGTGCGGCAGTCTCGGCGCGATGCATTTTCTGCGAGTGCTCGACTCGCTTGCCGATGGCTTGCGCTCCGTCACAACGCGTATACGACGATGCACGCCAATTCACGCGCGCGAGCCTCGATGCCCCGCACGAGATACACACACGATACGCGTCGAATCGGACGAGAGATGGCCAATGTCACGTGGGCCGCGACGAGAACGAGAAGTGGCACCGAGCCACTGAGCGTGCGACGCAACAAGAAAATGGAGCCGATCCGCCGAGTGCGCGATGCTGCGAGGAAGGGCGCCGAACCGATGCACGCGTATGCAACGATGCACGCCAACACGACATACGCGCGAACGCGGACCAGATGGCGTCTCGCCACGGCTCGACTAAGTACGACGCACTACACAGCTCGGGCGCTCACACACTCTCTCTCACGAAACACACTCCTACGCGACCGACCAAGCGACTTACTAATTAATTAAATGCTTAAGTTTACTTGTCGGAGATCTTCTTTCTTCGAGCTCTCAGACGGCGGCTTCACGGCAGAAATGGCGATCTTGGCCAGGTGCGGCTAACCTCTCTATCTCTCCTCGTATTGCAGAGCGTCTCACGCGACGGTGTGCGTGGCCGTCGTTGTCTTGCAAAGCAAGTGCAGCGAGTTCTCAGACGGTACCTTCGCTTTGTGCACTGGTAGACAGGGTGACTGCTCTTAGCCACTCACTGTACTCCTCACTGCACTTTCTCTTACTCGATCTATCAACTGAGTCTCTTTTTCGGCACGTGTCACAGTCGTTGCTCTTTGCGAAGGTTCGCTACTACCCAATTTTCGTCTGCTCCACTGGCTCGGTACGTGCATGCCAGCGCTCGCGATATGGCGGCAAGTGGCCTATTCACGCACGCCGCCGCGCTGTCATTGCGTCATGCTGCCGGCTCATGCTGCGATTTTGGTCTTGGCCCGCTGCTCTGCTGTGTCGTCTCTTGGCCTGAAAATCCTACTCACATGCATGCTACTCGCTTGGTCGGCGTGATTCGCATTTCACGTAAAGCGCGCGCGGGGGTTGCATCTCCGCAGGCGACGCTGTGACCCCCGTCACAACGGAATGTATATATTTAATGTAAGAATTCATAAAAACCTGAACATCTCTTCTACTTGGGTTAGGTCAGAAATTTCGAGTTATTGAGGTTTTTTGAAACCCTATCTAATACATGTATTTTTTTCAAGTTGTAGAGATTTTCGTTTGCAGAATTTTTTTCAAGTTATAGGAATTTTCGACTTCTGGAGATTTTACTTAACGAGATTCCCCTGCATAACCTAGAATTATCTAATATATAGAATGGAATAAAATGCTAATTGCGATATTTCATCTAAAGCTTACGGCATTTTTTAGCTAATGACACACGAAAAAATACCTTGGAGTTTAGAAAAAATTGGTGCTTTCCCGAGTGAACCTCAGCTATTAAAAAACTAGAAAAATTGCGATTTTTCCGATTATTACAAATATTAAAACTGCTCTAGAGCTGTCGATTTTGAAGCAATCAAAACTTTGAAATAAGCAAATTAAAGGTATTTTCACTACCTTTAATTTGAGTGTTTTGAATTTTTATTAACTCAAAAATTGACTGCTGTACAGCCATTTGAATGTTTCTGTAAGGACGCGGTAAAAGTTAATTTAAATCGAATTAAAAACCTTCAAGCGACTGACGGCTCGGGTTAACTCAATTTTTGAGAGCTGAAATTTTACACAGACTATATTTTGGTACATAGATCAGAGTTATTTAGGTGGCCATACCTAATAGGAACCAAAATCTTCAGAAAAGTAAACTTTATGGGCTGAGTTTTTTGGAATTTTGATTTAGACCTTCATATCAGTTCTATTATTCAATATCGAAGTGCCAGTGCTGAAAGATGACGCTTCGGAGAGCAGAGCAGAAAGATGCTACTTCGCGCTCCGGGCAGAACGATGCCATTTCGTGTTCGAGCTGAAAGATGCCACTTCAGCGCTCGATTCTGAAGGATGATTTTTTCTGCGTTTGAAGTGACACCATGTTAATGTTTCATGTTTTAGAAATAAAATTATATGCTCTTCCAGAATCCTGCGTTGGAATGAAGATGATAGTTAAAGTTCAAGCTTCAAACACTGAAATACCGAGCACTGATTAGTCATCTTGTAGCTCAAAACGCGAAATGTTATCTTTCTGCCCGGAGCGCGAAGTGGCATCTTTCGGCTCTGCTCTGTGAAGCGGCATCTTTTAGTACTGGCACGTCGATATGTGCTCAAAAACATTAATAATTTTTTTTTATTTCTTGATTTTTTCACATCTATTGGCACACGAACTTTTTTTATAACTCTAATAAAAATTCTGCAAAACTCAGCCCATAAAGGATACTTTTCTGAAGATTTTGATTCCTATGAGGCATGGTCACCTTAATAACTCTGATCTGAAACTTGCGCACAGGGCCGAAAGACTAAAATGATGGTGACACTTATTCTTTGTTTTGAGATTGCGAGTCATCTAAAAATATTTCAAATCTTGGAATATAATTTTTATGGTGGTGGGTGATGTTTATTGTCAGATGTCTCGACTTTTTTTTCCTTTTTATTTTCCTCATCATATTCATCACTTGTTTTCTAGTCACTCATATAACAGTCCGTATTTATACCTGCGGTCTGGTTTCCCACGGCATGAAATAGAATGATGATTTAATTATGAATTTTTAATTACCGATGTATATGTTAGTATCGTTATTGACAAAAATCAATGAATTGTTCTGCTCTATAATATCGAAAATTTGTGGAATTTTAATGTTTACTTATTTCAAGGGATCTGCATCCGAATGCATATTAGTATCAATGTTGGCAGCAAGAGCCCAAGCGATTGCTAGATTAAAAGAAATGACAACTTATGAAAATCAAGATGAGACAGTATTACTGGGAAAATTAATGGCCTATTGTAGCAGAGAAAGTCACAGTTGTGTCGAAAAAAATGCTATGATATCATTTGTTAAATTACGAATTCTTGAACCAGACTCTGAAAGTATTTTGCGAGGTACAACTTTGAAGCAGGTGAGTTAGAAAAAAAGTAAAAGAGTATGGTGTATAATTTCTATAATCCATTTTTCTACCTAGTATAAAGTTTAATTTTTGCCAAAACTAGTACAACTGATAGTTTCCTTAATTGAGAAGGATTATATTTAGGTTTGTAATCTTGATTAAGGAGGATTTATGAATAAGTAATTGATGTTGAGTGCAGCAAAGTCATTCACATTCAACTTGTTTTTAATTCATTGCTATGCCTTTGTCTTATAAAGATAAAAAATTATTACGGCAGTATCAGGCTGTACCTCAGTCTCTGACACTGCATCAATAAATAAAAAATAAGGAAACAATACAAATTATTCACACTATGATTCACTTATCACACAGATCATCAAAAAAGTTAATATTTATTAAAGTAAAATTATAAAATTAAATAAAACATGTCAACGTTTCGCTGCCTTATAAGCAGCCTAATCAAGTATGAAGTCTATGTTCTCCTATTTCTTTATATTAATAGGTGTGACGGGAGTCACTGGCCGACGCGGCCACCACCTACGGATAGGCAACCCTCACGCACGACTCACGCCAAATACCGCAAATGCTTATGAGCGAGTAGCTGAGTTACGCTGTATAAATTAAATCTCGAGAACAAGTGTGTTGCAACGAGAAAGACATAAAAAAGCAAGTGTACAAACTGTAAATTGTTGCTTGTGCGATACGTAGTGCACTGTGTTTACTATCGCACATTATTTGCGTGGAAATTGGTCGCGACCAAGAGAAAAGAAAGCGAGTGTTTGCTCGGCCGAGAGCCACTGCTAATAGCGCTTGAACATGAGAGACTGTTATGGGCCATGATGCGTACAGGTCAATGTAGCTCGTCCGAGAAAAATAATTGCTGTTGATCGCTGAAGCCATCAGTGAGTCATCATCGTCATATTAACGTGAGTTCGAAAAGAGAAGTCGGCAATAAAGTAAAATTAAGACTATTATTTCAATCATAGCTTGGTCGATCGAATGTGTATGCGTGAGAGGTTATAGCCACATGTGTGTGTATGTGTGTTCTCTGAGTACTGCGTAGTACTACGTGCCGTGGCGTGCCGTACCGCGAAAATCGGGCTTTCGACAAGAGCTTGACTGTGCCTACATAGGGGCTCCACTGGACTCCAAGTACTGATGAGTTTAGCTACACTGATCTGGAGCTCTCCAACATCACTACTGTCATGTTATTATTCTCTCGTAAGTGAGTCGGATATACGATTCCAATGGGTGGTTGGCCCCTGTGATGATCACCTCACTTTTGTCAAACTAGTGTACACAGATAAGACTATTACGACCGAAGAAATTATCGCGACTAGTGCAGCAGTGGTACGCGCAGTTCAATCACATCATTTTTGCATGAGTTTAAGAAAATTCCAGGTTACGATGCCATCATCCTTACCATAAAAAGATGAACTTAGTACGAGTTGGTGGCCGTTTGATTCATTCGATGCTGTCACATGATGAGCGTCACCCACTAATAATTCTAAAGGTTAGCCACTTTGCGCGACTGCTATCCTCCACTCTTATGAATAAACTTTACGAGGAGGCTAGTTCAAAGGTTTTTGGGCCAACAGTGGTAAATCCTCCCAAGCAGGAAGCCTCATACGGCAAGTAATTCATTCATCTGTAATGTGTACACGTTTTCAAGGACGCAGATTAGAGCAATTTATGGCAACTCTAACTGAGCCCAGAGTCACACCGTCGAGACCATTCACCGTGACAGAAGTCGATTATGCTGGCTCTTTTGCCCTCCGTACGTCAAAAGGGAGAGCCCATCTTGTCGGATTATAGCTCAAAAGCGTTCCTGTTGGCTCTTCACCGATTTTTTGCGAGAAGAGATTTGAGTCACACAATTTTTATGTGAAATATCTTTATCGGAGTTTGGTATGTGGGGTAAACTCGTAAAAAACAAGCTTCCGTCCGTCCGGGCGAGCGCAACTTTAATAGTATAAGTGCCTATACAGCGTCGGTTTGCGCTGCGCGCTTTGATTGACTACCGCGCTAGTTACACCGAACTCGCTGACTGCTTTCTGTTAAAGTCGACACTAATCTCTTCTCGCCACGCGTTTTTCTCTCTCGCTCTCGCACGAGCATGTGACTGTATTTACGTATACACACGAGGCAACATAAGAGCATAAGCAACCGCAGTCAGTATAGCTCACGGACTTGACTACGTTTAGTTGTCTTCCTCTCTCGTACTTATGTATACAAGAAAATATGCATATAAGATAATACATAGAATGCGAATTTGTGGTCAATTCGTATACGTTGCGACACCCTTCACACTATCATGCATGTTTTCAAATTTGATATTGATCAATGCATGTATCTATGAGTGTGTATCTTCAAAAGGGAAGTCGATATTTTTATTAAACTGCGCTGCAATCACTTTTGCCATACCCAAGTAAAAAGTAAGTAAACTGCAAAGTGTCATATCTCAGTTAATAAAGATCGGATCGGGATTTTAAAAATACCATTCAAAAGGTCTTTCAGCAATTTAAAGCTATATAAATTATGTTCGGATGCCATAATTTATTTGCCAATGGTGTTTAATAAATAAAGAATCGAAAAAATCAGTTTTTCTCGTCGTTGATATTTCACTCGCCATTTTAGTAGAAGGTCTTACAGAAATATTTGGAGCCCCTCATTTTGTAGGTTTTAATAAGACCTTCAAATTTATTTAACTTAAATTATCCAAAGTGCCTTTTTCACGAAGATACGGTAGTTTCACTGTAGAGAAATAATGAATATCATTTTTCAATTTTTTTTTCATTCATACGTGTACGGCTTTGAAAAAAAGATGGGGAAAATTCTTATGTACAAAAAATGTTTGTATTCGTATGTAGAAAATGAAGTCATATTTATGGATTATATTTTTAAAATATTCATGACTTTGATTCATCAAAATTTTATAGTTTCAAAAAACATCAGGGTCCAGTAAACGCCCGTATCTTCGTGAAAAATGCACGTAGGACAATTTAAGTTAAGCAGATTTGAAGGTCTTATCAAAACTTACAAATTGATTGGCTCACAATGTTTCTATAAGACTTTCTACTAAAATGGCGAATGAAATATCAGCGACGAGAAAAACTGACTTTTTCGATCCATTTGTTATAACTAATTGTAGTTATTTAATTAACTGTTCAGACCTTGAGTTTTACCTCAAATAGTCTAGGAGTTCATTTTTGTTATATTCGAAACTGTTGCTTATGAGTACGTTGGAATAATAGATGGAACTCGTTGTGTATATGTCTGTTAGGTATATGTGTATGGCGTATATGAGTTCGCGTCGGCGCGGGCTTATATTGGAAGTCCCGGGACTGATCGTATGCGCGTTATTGTAGTAGCCGCGGTGTAGCGTGGGTGTATGACCGTTGGAGAAAGTGACTTGTGTGCGTGTGCTANTGTTCGTTCGTGAAGTGCTATTGATTTCATTATTATTTAATTAATTGATAGATTACTTGAGTTTGATATCTGTGGTATAGTGACAATTGTTATTGTTTGATATTCTTGCACTCGGCTTAAAGCTTAATGTAATGTTGTGTTTGTATATAATCATTTTGAGTCGTTAATACAGCCACGTGTAGTTATACTTCTATGGAGTTATTTTCTATTTAATTGATATCATTGAGTTATAATAAAAATTGAATTCATTAAACATAATAATTAAACATAGTGAGTTAAAATATTTAGAAATCATATAGGAATAATCAATCATTTGTTAAAATGAGATTCGTTAATCGGGTCAGTAACTTAGGAACTCTATGATCTAGGATTGATATTTTTCTAATGTGGGTAATGGAGCGATTATCGATCGATCATGATTGTAGGCGGGGAAGAAAAAAAACATATGGTATCAGTGGCGGTGCTGGACGTCACACATTATTTATTGAAAAAAATGGTTGATTAAATGATGTCAGCCTAACATAATTTATATAAGGTAAAAGCACCAATTATGGAACGGTTTTGAAGCAACTTTTTTTCAAACATGTGTATCTACTTGAAAAATTGATAAAATCTTAAAACAAAGTTATCATTAGATGCATTGTACCTCCCCAATGAAAATATTTTATAAGTTCTTAGGCAAGATTTTAAAATGATCTTGATAAAATTTTAAGACATCTAGTAGCAAGTTTTTATATAAGATCTTGATAAAACTGGAAGACTTCAGGTAGTAAATTCTTAGGAGATTTTTTGATTTCATTATTAGACTTGAAATAACAAGTTCTTATATAATTTGAATTTCATGATTGTGATGAAGTTTTACTATTTTATCAAGATGTTATACAAGACTTTCTACCACATGTCTTACAATTTTATCAAGATCTTATGCAAGAACTTACAAGGTCGATTATCATACGTAAGTTCTTGCATAAGATCTTATACAAGATCTTTTTAAAATCTTGCCTAAGAACTAATAAAATATTTTCATTGGGGCTTTAATATCGAAATCCCTGTGTTTAAAACTGTCCTTAATTTTCTTATTTATTTATATAAGTAATATTAACAAAGTATCTTTGGTACCTAATTATGGAAAAGATGCAAAATTTGCTCCTTCCATTAAAGGATCAACGAAATCAACGAGTGTTCTAATATTGGAATCAACAAATCAATCGATCTTAACCTGTACTGTTTCACTAAAGGGTCACCGCTTTTTTTGGGTGTCCCTATCAATGGAACGCGCTTTTCAGATGCACTTGATTAATTTATTCCATCATAAAATATTATTACACTGTTAGCTTCGAAATCATTTTGTATTGATTATACGAATGCAAATTGATACTTTTCAATTGCTTTCAAGATAAAATTTTAACAAAAACTTTAGTTATAAGGGTATAAATGCTGATATTCCACAAATTGGTACACCGTTCCATAATCGGTGCTTTTACCTTAGTTGTAAAGTGCTTGTAAGGTCCTTTTGAATGGTATTTTCAAAATCCTGATTCGATCTTTATTGACTGAGATATGATACTTTGAAGTTCACTTAC